AGATCTCTTGGCAGGCTGCAGAGAAGCGTGCAATATCGCACCTAAACACAGAGGCAGGAGATGGGTGAGAATTAGACCTCACGCGCCAGCTGCTGAGGGTGCAACGACGTGGTGCAGAGATGAGAATGGTACCTGGTGTCTGACTTCTCTAACAAATTGGCTCTCCCATCCACTTCTTTTAGCCTTTCTTTCACTTCCATACAACTTTTTCTTCCACGTGTGTTCTTTTTCTTTCCTTTCTCTACTTGCACTTTGGGGGCTTTCTTGCTCTTTTTGTCCAGACCTCAGTATCCTACTCACCTCCTTGTGCTACATCATTGTTTTCCCTCCCCAGTGGTGTTAAACTTCCTCTCTGTGCTCTTGCTAAATGAAATAACAGCAAGAGGGATCAGCATTGATGCTGTAGATAAGAGGATGCCCACAGCCCAGTGCACTGGGCTGCAGCCACTAACACTGTAAGCAGTGGAGGATGGGTCAGTGGTTTCTCATCTCTGAAAGGAGGTTTCTGAACAATGAAAGGGGGTTTCTGTGCTGCAAAGCCTTAGCTGCCACTCGGTCTCCGCAGGCACCTTGGTAGGATAAAAAGCTAAAATATCCCCCACTGGAGAGAAGGTCAAATCATATGTGATCCAAACCTGTCATGTCCTGGACTTTGGGCACCCACACCCAGCACATGAGCAGTTCCCAAACCATCCCTGTGTCCTGGTGCTGTGATTTACACTGTTACAGGCTCAGGGTACAACCCAAAGTGTTTTCAATCGTTGTGTGCCTGCTGTTGTGTTGAAGAAAGGATCTACTGGGCTGAGTGCTCCAGAAGATGCTCTACCAAATGTGAGCAATGAAAAGAAATGAATTGTGTTCTCAAGTCAGTTGGATCTCGACAAAAATGTTTAAAAACCAAACCACCACCATCACCAGAAAAACAGCCCACAAACCCAGCAGCTTGGAGGAATGTTTCTTGAAATTGCTCTGAAAGATGGAGCTATTGAGATTAATGTGAATTAATTTTTACAAAGTAAGAAAGATACCTACTTAGATCTCAGCAGCAGCAGCAGCAGCAGCAGGTGCTTGCAGCATTATAAATAGAAAGCAATACAAACTGAGGTGCTTATTAAATTTGCCTTTATGATGCTTTGAAGAATTGCAGAGGAACAAAAAAGAAAAATTACCAGTGGTGCTGGCTTGGGAGGGTGATTTAAAATAGCTGTGCTGCCAAAGAAACCAGAATGTAAGCTAGAATAACTGATAGACTTGTTCAGAAAGGTTATCTCACAGTGATTCGTCCCTCACACGGAGAGATTGACTGAGAGCTGTGCAGGGATTTGATTTGGAGGGCTTAATTTTTTGGACAGTTTTAATAAAGTGTGGCATTTTAATGTATTTTCCAACAGATTGCACTCTAATCCTTTCTGGGATTGCCTGGGTTTGAAAGGTTTTTCCTTGTTTTCTTTTGGCCCTTCTCCCTGTTGACAAAAACTGATTCTGTAGGAGATGTTCATGGTTGGGAAACGGATTGGTTCAGAATTCTTGCTGTCCTTTTGGATAAGGCTTTAGTGAGGATCCTGTGTATCCTTCAGCATTTTGTACAACTTTGGAAACACTGCAGCATCTCCATGGAGAGGTGGCTGAGCAGAGTGGCTCACAAATGGGCTTGTAGACCAGATTGGAGCAGCAGGCTCAACGAGCAGAGACACCATTAAAAATGAATCAAAATGAATGATTTTTTTTTTTTTCTGTTCTTAATGGGATACTCAAATTGATTGAATTTGGCAGGGAGCGTACTAGGAAATTGCAGTGTGGGGAAATCAGGTGTTGCTGCTGGGATCAGTGAACTGGCCTGTGTGAGATGCTGGTTCCTACCTGCAGCTGTGCTGCAGCAGTGGCAGGATTGGTGGAGATGAGTTCTGCTGGGTCACGGCGTCGCTTCTGCACCCTTCTCATCTCCTTCTCTTTGGGAAAGGCACGGCTGGTGTACAGACAGAAGGACCTGCATTAGAAATGGAGCAGTGCACATACACATACAGGACAGGTGAAGTCATTGCTGCGTGAAGGGAGAAAAGTGAAGTTGTGCTGATGATGAAAAGACTCCTGGCTTCCACCCAAGATGTCCTTGGGACTGCACATATGGTCTGACCTGCTCTGAAGTGGTTTGTGTGCCATGATATAAGATGCATGGATATATTTTAGCTGCGGTTAGCAATTCTGCTGCATCCCTGTGCTCATACATCGTTACGTAGGGGATGTAAAGTTGTGGTGTTGCTGAGTGTTCTGGAAGGTCGCTTGCACTTACTGCTGGCTGGATGACAGCGTTGAACCCATGGCTGTTTGGTGAATGCTGTAGAGGAACTTGTAAGATATCCTTTGGCCGCCTCTGCTTGTTTCCATTACACACTCTGCTCCACACTGTTTGCTTTTGCTTCTGAGTTTTTAGCTGATGGAAACTCCTGCAAGTAGGATTGCAAATAGGATTACGTGCATAGGTGGTGCAAGAACCAGTGCTGCAGAGGCAGAAGGCAGCTGGTGCTTAGGGAATGGCTTTGCTGGGAAACTCCCTTTGGTTACACTGTGCAAAACTTCTTTCTTGTATTTTTTATTTACTTATTTTTTTTTAGGTCTTAATTAAACTTTCTGCATTTGAATTAGTTTACATTAATGTCACACTGTCCTATTATGTGTAAATTGACAGACGTTAACAGGGATTTGATCAGCCTAATTCAGCTGTATGTAATTATGTGCCTTCTCCTTAAATAATTGCAAACAGAGTCTATCAATCATGGCAGGGGAGCCTGCTGCTTTATAGTAATGTGGGATTGTTTAGTGAAATGTAATAAGGCTTCAGGTTTCAGATGGGAAGTAAACAGAATGAGATTTTAATGAGATTAGTGATAGGAAGAGTAAACTCCACATCCATCCCCTGCTGCAAGCCACGCTTCTTATCTTCCCTTCCCCTCAAAAAAGGTGTCCTGATTGCATTGTAGTCACACTGGTGTTTGAGAACATTTCTGTAATTTGAAAGGAATTTGGGCAAAGCGTCAATTTCTGGCTGCCAGGGAAAGTCCCGGCCCTCCCAGTGGTGCTGTTCTAATGTAAGGTGGTTTTTATTTCATTCACTGATGACTTGATTACCCAGATCAAACACAAGGGTGTGCAGAAGGCCACAGAAGTGGAAATGAAATTGGCCGTGCCGTTTCTGCACAAGGTTGCAAACAAGGCCTGCTTGGAGAACCAGTGGCTGAGGGTGTCACTTTCCTGGGAAGCCCTTTGGAAGCGGTTCCCCCAACACAGGCACCCGCTTCAGCAGTTGTGTTTGGGTGAACTTCTCTGTGGTTTTGTCGTCTCTGCTGTTGCACAGTCCTCCTCTGGCACGTGGACAAGCAGGGAAAGACAGGCGCAGTGCCAGCAGGCTTTCCTCAGCCTGCTACTGAAAACCCATCTGTGCCAAGAAAAGCTTGAAAAACCAGAACTTCAAACGAGCTGTGAAGGGAGTGAGTTTGAGATCACAACCCCTTGTTCAACAGGCTCTGGTGTTATGTCCGCTTTGATTTAAATCTGCAAATACCTCCAAAAGACTTTATAATGCCTGAGCTCCACTGTCAGTGCAGTGCTGCCTGTTCTCTCCTGCAGGACTGCCTTGGGAGGGTCTCAGAAGCCCAGCACACATCTATCTTACTCTCTGCTATTGCAGATAGTTCTGTAAGTTGAACTAGAAGGGGGACATCTCCCTTTGAAGGGATTGCTGTGTGAGTAGCTGGAGTCCAACATGCTTGGGTTGTCTCCTGGTCAGGAAGTGCAGATGCTGTTTCAAGATATTGTCCTGGTATCTTGGGAGATGTTGTCCAGTTTTCCTCACCTGTCAGTCAGAATCCATTGCTCCCCTCCACACACACAGCCCCATTGCCACACCGTGCTCCCCTGCCGGTGGGTTTTTATGTTTTTGGGCTCAACAATCCGTTCTTGCTGGGGCCATGGATTTTTTCGCCTGCCGACTTTTAGCTTGGACTGAATTTTCAGTGCCGAAGTTTTAATGACAGTAGAATTAAAATGAAAAGCAGTGACAGTTGCTCAACTCCCATGTTTGCATTACCAAACTGTAACATCAGCCTTCAGACTCGTGGGCGCTCTGCCCGCTGTGTCTTAGGGCTCTGTTTCAAACATGTTTGTAGTGATGCTGTCTCACGGTACTTGAATTGGAGGAGTAACAAGCTGAACACATGCCGGCACGTAAGAAATGAGAATTTCCCATCTAGGTCATCAGCAGCCCAGGGGAGGAGGGCTGTGGTGGCAGTTTGTGGCACTGAGTTATCAGTGACAGCCCAGGTCTCGGTGTGCTCGTGGCCCCAGTGCAGCACCGTTGGAGAACATCGATGATGTGTTCATGGTCTGCTCCTTGTGCTGCACGCTGTCAGAGGCCAAATGCTGGATGTGAGTCGGCGGATTTTAGCGAGTTTGACACTTGTGACTGCTTTATTTATTTAATGTGGTGTTTAGAAACTGTCTGAATTCCTGTTAGCACAACGGGAAGATACGTGTTTTGTATCCAAAGGATTATTGTCAGGAACAGCTGAGAAAATTCGTTTTTAGGAAAACAGCTGAGCAAACACACGATGTGAAGTCATATGCTGGCTGTTGTGGTTTATTGCATTTATGTGCAAGATCATCTGTGGCTGTATGGATAGAGAATGGTGAGGTTTTCTTTAGAGCTCCCATGGGAACTGAATTCATGCAGTGACCGAAATGACCTGTTTGTTTTCAGGAAGTGTTAGTCCTAGTTCTTCATCAGATTACCTGTTGCAAAAGTTGTCTTGATACTGATTGTTTATCTACAAAGGAAAATATTACTTGTTGCCCACCTGTTCACAGTGCAAGAGGACTTGTCTACTTATTTTTTACTCCATTTGCTTCATGCTTCTGTGCTGCATGCAGGGCAGATTGGATTTCTCTGCAACACTGGATGTGCTGAAATACCATCACCTCATTTCTGTTTAACTTTACCTTTGCAGATGCAGAGATCCATGGCTTTTTGCTTCTCATACAGATTACTTCTTGTATCCGAGTCCTCAGAGTGGTGAAACCATACTGAAGTGGCTTTTTGCTTTGACGGCTTTGCAATCTCTGACTTTCTGGCAGTATTCAGTGATGACTTTCATTTTCCAAATGCTGTGAGTAGGTTGGAGACTCTCAAAGCTACATTTACAGTAAATGTGATGCTGCAGTAATGATGGGTCAATTCAGATTCAGTCTGTAATGTGGAGGGAAAAAAAAGCCAAACACCTTCAATAAAAAATAATGTTAAAGTGACTTTAGACAGCAACTTAATAGTTCCGTGTCATTATGTGTGCAATTAAAAGCCTTTACCCATGAAAATGGAGTTGCTTGGATTTGTTAATCATCATTCTTTGCTACGGTGAAATAGACTGAGGTAAATTCTTATGGTGTTAAGAATGGCTTCATGCTGTAATGTGAAAATCCATTTTTCACGGAGCAACAATTTCTCTCTTAATGCTTTTCTCCATTCTTGGCGCTGTCTGAAATGATGACAGTGTCACAGTAACACGAAGCTTTCAGATGTAACATTCCCAGCATTATCTTCAGCTGTGCTTCCACTCTGCTCTGTAACTTCTGTTGAAAGGCACTGGGCTGGGTGACCCAGAGCACCTGAGAGTGCAGCAGCAGGAGTTACTTGTGTCACTGAGCTCTACCCAGAAACTCCTCTCTGGCTTCAGTTGCTCTTGTTGCTTTAAGGAGACACCTTGTACAGATTAGAAGTTCATTTTTTAAGCAGATAAGAGTTGTTTCTCTGTGTCCCACAGAGCTTCAGTGACTGAAGGAACTGTCCTGCAACTGGGAGGCTGCTTTTGTGCTGCTGGAAGTGGCTGTGGGGGAGGGAGGGAGGATGTGGTTGGGATTAAAGTGTTACGGCAATCTTCCGGGCAGACTTGCTCTTTAGGGTTCAGCTGTTTCAGTCGTGTTGGCAAATCTCTGCTCTGTCCATCTTTGTCACCCACACAAGTGACTGCACAGAACATTTTGCTCCTTTGGGGCCTGTCACAAAATGAAGATTTTTTTTAACTATCTCTGTACAGTTAGCGTTTAAAAAGTAGGGTAATAATCGTCCCTGAAAGCGGGTTGAAATGGTGCTGGGCTGTAACTGCTGCAGTTGGATAGAAGCTGTTACAATCAGGCTTTTTTTTGGAAGCCCTCTCCTTGGAGCCAGGCCTCAGGGCACGAGGTGCCAGGCGCTTTGGGTAGCAGACCCTGTGGGAGCTTAGTGCTGGTCCTGTGCTTGCCCAAGTCCTGCACCCAGGTCGTGGCTGTCTGAGGGACTGACTGCGTTCTGCAGAGGAAATGTGAGGGTTGTGCTCTTCCTCTGACACCCGCAAAAAGCGAAGCACAAGAGAAACCAATGGCAGAGCTGGAGCTTTGCCTGGCTGGTAGGAAAGGCTGTGTGCGGATCTGAGGTCTCTGCAGACCCCATCTACAGCTCTGAGCACAGAATTCCCTTTGTAAATCTGCCCCGAGCTCCTTCTGGAAGATGTCTAGCTTTTTAAAATTCCCATCTAGATGCATCTGTAAGCTGGCCAAATCCCATCAGAAATCGGTGACCTTGCTGATGCTGCTCTGGCAATGGCCAGACATTAGAGCTGCAGGAAAGTGAATTTCTATCCAAAATGTGGTACTTCACCTTGAGGTAAAATCAGCTATGCAGTAAATCTGTGCTCCACAGAAAATCTAAAGCAAGGCTTTTATTAAATTTTACCCAGAGCTTCTATAACAGCGTTACACGTGGTTTAACCATTAAAAAAAAAAATTAAAAAAAAATCACTGGTGTGGTTTCAAAGACAGGAAATAAAGCAGGGTCTGGGCAACAGCTAGACATTAATTAAGGTAGAACTGAGCACTGTCATTTCAGCCAACTTGCTGGCTGGGTCCATGTCACACTTCCTCCAGCTCTGCCAGAAGCTGCTACCTCCTTGTGCTGGTGGCCTCTCCATCTCTGGCACTCAACTTCTGATCCAGCCTGCTCACAGTGGCTCTGGCTGCTGCTGGGCCCTCAAGTAACAAGCTTGGTAACTCAAATGAGGAGCAAACTGGTAGGTTTGATGGTTTGAACTCTCCTTCAACTTATTTGCCATGCTGGTGTGTCCTAGTGTTAGTCTGTTTTCTGAGGTGACAAGCGATAGGGTGTGAGTAAGCTGCCTCAAACTGTGCTGAGGGAGGCTTAGATTGGATATCGGGAAGAACTTCTTCACAAAAAGGTGGTTAGGGGTTGGAAAGTGCTGCTCAGTGGAGTCCCCATCTCAGGTGGTATTTAAGACATATGGTTGGGACACCAGGTGACATGGTTTAGTGGTGGACTTGTGTTAGGTGATGATTGGACTTGGTGTTCATGAAGGTTGTCCTAAATGATCCCATGACTCTTTGAACTACAGGTTTTAAAGGCTTTTCAACACTACAGTAATCTGAAGAGTGTTGTCTGCATATGGATCCTGTGTCCTTTTTCCCTACTGCTGGCAAGCAATGTGAATACAGCACATCTTCGTCTGCTGTTCTGTTGTTTGTTTGTTTTTCATGTCTCATTGACACACATTGCCCCAGGGGAAAATTTAAATGATAAAAATAAATTCTTGTTGGATCGTTTGCTTGAATTTCAAGATATTTTGCAGTTCCAGAAACGTGATGGTGTCAGTAGCATGCTCCAGGGGCCAGGGTAATCCAAAGTGGTTTGCAAATGCTTGTAATTCAGGATTTGGTGAGAAATTATTCAGCTTAAGGTGGTTAATAAGTTCATGCTGTAATGTTGATGATAATAAGTTCTTCAGACATCTAGACGTGTGATTGCACTGAGTGCAGCTAAACGAAACCTTCTGTGTGTGTGTTACTTGTGGGAGATCCCATCCCACACAGCGATGCCCAGCAGCATCAGTGTGGCTGGAGGCAGTCAGCTGCGCCTTCCCTGGCTCCCAGAAGGAGCCCCGGGCAATGTGAGGAACTATGACCAGCTGATCACTGTGGTTATTGTTAATTTTACAACAAAAGGAGAGGACAGATTGCTGTAGAGCCTGGTTGGAGGGTTGTCAGTGCGTTTTGAAGGCTGAAAGTTCCCTTGTTTCACTATTACCTCTGCTTACCCATATTTAGCTGCTTGAAGATGCTGCCAAATGCATCAGCGCTGATAGAAGTAACTTCGCTAAGTCTGATTATTTGTGCTGTTAGGTTTTGAGGTCAGCTCTGCAAAACAGTTCAGAATGACTTAATCCAGAGGTTATAATGAGGAGCATTTCTATATACAAAAGCAGTTTGGATGATGGGCAGAGAGGAGTGTAATTGCACTAGTTAGATTTGGAGTGGGGCGCTAACTTTGTGACTTTCTGTTATGTTGAAGAATGACTTTCTTAGCTTTGTTTTCAGCAGCTTGAACTTTTAACCTTTTGTTCTGTTCAAAACTTCAGCTGCTCAGTGCCAAGCTGGACACTGCAGGGTTGGACGGGCAGTCTCTGTGAAATGGATGCTCCAAACAACTGTATCCAGCCTGTGCTCTCTGACTTGCAATCAAGCCAGCAGGTTCCTGCTTTTGAGTAACTTTGCTACAGTGGACTTAAAAAAAAAAAAAAAAAAAAAAAAAAGTTGCATCACCCCATGCAATTCCATTAAAGGAAGATGATGTTACAGATTACTGTCAGAACTGTCAGGCTGTTGTGGGTTATTGATATTCCACTTCTGCTGGACTGCATTAATCCCTTCTGTTGGTGTTCAGACAAATGGCCCAGATGAGAGAGTCACTGACCAGTAAAAGCAGTAGTTGAACGAGTTTGGTGTTCACTGCCAGCCTTGGCAGGTGCTTGGGCTGAGCTGAGCAGAAGCAGCTTTAGGGATGCATACAAGGTGTGGCAGCAAGCCCTCTCCTGTTCAGGGATGACAGGGAATTGAAAGAATACTTTCTTTCAGCTTCTGTTTGCGAAGAAAGAAGGAGTTTCCAACTCTTCTGTACAATGAGTTGCTCTCTGAGCTTGGCAATGAGCTTATACAAGATTGCAGTACCCATAAGCCATCACCTTCTGATTGCCCTTCCGATAGTGACTTGACTCGAGATAATTTAAAGAGACAGTGGTAACTAGCTTGATAATTACAGCCAGTGCAATATTATTTCCTTCCTCTCCTTGTCTGAATTTGGCCTTTCCAGTGAGCAAACAAGGTGATTGCTGGCCAAAGGAGGACAGAGCTCAGAAACACGAGATTTGCTCTGTTGGACTGTGCACTTCTTTCTGCTAGTGAGATCCTGATGCTGCCATCCCGCCTCTGGCACTGACTTGCTTGGCTGAAGCTGTCTGCTCTTTCTGTATCTGCTCCTTCATGTCCATAACCAAGCAGTCATTGCCTCCCACTGAAGTCCTTGGGTGGTTGGTGAGAGACGTGGGAGCAAATGGGGATGGCTCTTACTCTGCTTGCACGATGTAGGTAGCAGGATTTTGCCTTATTGCAGTGGAGCACTTTTAAAAGCACCGCTTCATGTCAACAGGAATTATATTCCTGTCCAGCAGGTGCTTCATACTGGACCTTTCCTGTGAGTGAGTGCTGTCTGCTGCAGAAACTCTGTGATCGTGGCCTCGCATCTGGGCTCCAAATGGCAGCAGGAGCCTGGCAGCAAAGTGCAGAGATTCCCTGCTTCCACTTTATGGTTCAGTTAAGATGAACCCTAAGGCTTATTTACCTACAAAACTGGGTCTGTTTGTGTGCAAGTCCATCTCTGCCTGTACCAAAGCCAAGTAACCCAACCTACTGGAAGCGTGTTTGGGATTGATGCCAGATTCCCAAACTGGAGAGCATCAGCTTGCAACTCAAGTGGTGTTGACATTTGCGGGAAGGCTTTATGTTCTAAGCCATCAGATGTTGGCTGGTGTGTGTAATCAACTTGGTATAATTTTGCTTCAGAATGAAATATTCAGTCAGAAGAGACTTAATGCTTCTAATGTCTGGGTAGCAAGCGATGCTGTGTAGATCAAGGCATACATCTCGTGTTTCAGAGACTGGTTTCATGGCAACTCCTGTTTGTTACTATGGTACACAGTCAGTCCTGAGGGATTTTACTGCCCATCACTTCTTAGGTCATGTGAGTAATCTAGATATAAAACCCATGGATGTATGCTAACAGTGGAGACAAAAAGCAATAAGAAAATACTGATGATCTGCAAATCTAGTTGTCCTGGGGGACAAATGTAAAGCTTTATTCTGCTTAGTGATTTAGAGTTAGGTAACAAAGCTTGTGACCAGAGCAGGAGGAAAATGGAAACAGAAGGGGTAAGCAAAACACTTGGGTTTTGCCAGAAGAAATCGAAGACCAAAAAGAAACCACCGCGGCACAGATGATAGAAGGTGAAATGCCGAAGACTCTCCCTGGATCCGTAAGACAGCTGAGGATTTGCTGAAAGAGAGTTAACATCCAGTAACCAAGTAGTGCTGTTTGTTTAAACAGACTGGAACAGGATGTTGTGTGTATTTGCTCCATCCAGTTCCTATGCCTCTCCATTACGAAGCTCACCGGCCACTTCTGGTCTCTCTACATACGTCTGGTATTACAGTTCTAATGCTACAGCTCCATTGCTTCTAAGACTTGAACTTTATTGTCTTGTCTTCTCATCTGAGAGCCATCCCAGTCACTGAAATCTTCTTTTTATGCTTTGTGAAAACTGAAGTGAAGTTTCTCCGAGTTTGCCTTGGAGACTGGGCTGAATTTGCATAGAATAAGACCAGAAGAAGCAGCTGCACGCAGAGGTCCTGTCTGCTTGGTGGCTGGTTTGTTTGTTTGCTTAGATGGCATCCAGGCAGGTCTGTGGGAGAACACAAGTACTGACCCAGTACCATCAGATGGTTCTGATAGTCTGGTCACTTCTGTAAGTGCAACCAACTGCTGGGTGAGATTCACAACAGGCAGATTGCTGTTGTTATGAGAAAGGATGCAAACATTTCTGTAGTTGCATGCAGCTGGTAGGTGGGGACTCTTGTTTTGTATGTGAGCATTTAGTCTGGTTTTGTTGTCTGACTGACAAACAAGATTGAGTGGTAACAGAACGAATCTCACTTTCAGGGAAAACCATTTCTTTTTTAAGGCAACTGTAAGACAGCTTGTAATGCTGACTTGTAACATTGTAACGTTCTGTGATCATAGAATGGTGGAATGCTTTGGGTTGGAAGGGACCTTTCAGATCATGTAGCTCCAACCCCCTGCTACAGGCAGGGACACCTCGCTCTACACCAGGCTGCTCACAGCCCCATCCAGCCTGGCCTTGAATGCTTCCAGGGGCATCCACAACCTCACTGGGCAACCTGTTCCAGTGTCTCGCCACCCTCACAGCAAAGGATTTCTTCCTAATAGCTAGTCTACATATATAGTCTTCCAGTTCAAAGCCATTTCCCCCATCCTATCGCTACCTGCCCTTGTAAAAAGTCCCTCCCCAGCTTTCCTGTAGGCCCCATTGATGTACTGCAAGGCCACTATAATGTCTCCTGGAGCTGTCTCTTCTCTGTGCTCCCTCAGCCTGTCTCTATAGGAGAGGTGCTCCAGCCCTCTGATCTTCATGGCCTCGCTCTGGACCTGCTCCAACAGCTCCCTGTCCTTTTTGTGTTGATGGCTCCAGAACTGGAAGCAGTACTCCAGGTGGGGTCTCACAAGAGCAGATTAGAGGGGCAGAGTCACCTCCCTCAACCTGCTGGTCATGCTTCTCTTGATGCAGCCTATCAAGATGGTGTATCAAGAAGAAAGGCAGTTAGTTGCATTAACACACCAATTTCTTCATACATTGTATTCTTGGTATGTTAGTGTGATGGAGAACCATCAGTTCATAGTTAACTTCGAGCTCAGCTACAAAGGTAACCCCAGCAGCTTTAACCCCCCCCGATGTGCATTCACACGGCCTGCACGGAGCTGCTGGGCAGTCACAGCAGTGGATGTGGCAGAGGATCACAACCACTCGGGCGGCCTCTTCCTTCTTCCCAGTCAGTGGCATGCACAGCTGCAGGCCGTGAGGGGAGCAAAGCCTTCCCCGCATGCTTGGGTCTGGGAGTGCTGGCATGCAGTGAGTGTCCTTAGCTGAGGAAGGCTTTCGTGTCGAGCAGTGTTTTTGTTAACGTTGATTGATACTTCTGCTTTTATAACTAGTGTAGCTGATGCTTCAGAGCGGCTAGCTTATTAATGACTGCTTGTCTAAGCCAGTGATTTGTCAGCAGGCTGATTATCACTTGAGGTATTTTTTTTCATATAAAAATGACAGCTGTAATAAGAGACAGCACTGAGTCATGCTATGGCTTAGACTTTGTTCTATGGCAGCACAACCAGAAGTAGAAGTTAAGCAGCACTTTCTCTGTGTTTCTTCCTGTTAGAGTACTGCTGATTCCCATAAATACCAGGTGTGGGTGACAAATGCTGAATGTTTTTTCCTGATGACAGGATGTGTGTATGTGCTTCCTGCTGCTGCAGATTGGTGGGGAGCTGTGGGCCCGTAGTTGGGAGCCAGCTGCCAGGCGGCAGCTGTGCTCTGTGTTGATGCAAGGCTCGTCAACAGTATGGTCATTAAGTCTTTAGCTGTGTTATCTTGTTTGACTTGGAGGATAAAGTGTATGGTGCTGGACTTTGTTTCTGGCTTGACACAGGATAAATTCAGTGCTCTTGGACAAATAACACACCGTGAGCTTCTGCAGTTTATTGTGGGGAAAGCGTTACTGATGAGGTGAACGAACGCACTGAGATTCAGGTGCACAGATGTTGGTGCCAGTTAGGCAAAAGTTTTACCCAGTGAAGCTGCAAGTGGTTTTAATAACTGTAATATATGTAGATTTTGTTTCAAACACTTCTTCTCTCTTCTCTTGCAGTTTCTTGTGCTGCCAACCATTGGTGGGAGACGGAGATTTTCAGCTCCTTGTTTCAAGTGACCTCAGCCTGTTCTCTGCAGCTGAGCTCCCTCTGCTCCCCCATTTTGGTGAACAAAAGACCCTATTTGGAGGATGAGGCAGCTGAGAGGAAAGCCCAAAAAGGAGACCTCCAAAGATAAAAAGGAGAGGAAACAGGCAATGCAGGAGGCCCGCCAGCAGATCACCACGGTCGTGCTTCCCACGCTGGCCGTCGTCGTGCTGCTGATCGTTGTGTTTGTTTACGTGGCGACTCGTCCGAATACGACTGAATGATGCGGCTTCTCAGACCTTCTGACTTTGGGGTATTAATACTTCTATCAGGAGCCAAAAGAAACTCTCTGCCACTCTCAGTACTTCACAAAGGAACTTGCTGGCACCTCCAGTCTTTCCCTTGGTTAGGATTCCACAGTTTCTCTTTAGGAATGTAACATAAAACGTATTGGTGAGTGTGCCAGTACGTTTTATGGTCCAGTTCATGTGCCTTTCAGACTTTGACAATGGTGTTTTTCTTAAATCTGTTTGAAGTTCTATATTGTAAAAGGAAATTCTGTTCCGCTATAAATTTGTAAAAAAATCAGCTTTCAGCTTTTATCACTGTTATGGAAAATGTTGCTCCCATGAGCTCTTGTATGTCTATTTCAGAACTTCCAAAGAAGTACATTTCTTCTTTGTACTTAATGTCATATGAAACGCTTTGATTCAGAAAGGATATATTTATTTTTTGAATAAAAGAGAGAAGTCTTACTTGGGATCTTATTTTGCAAAAAAATGTGACTTATTGTGAAAGACTACATGGTGTAATAATTTTTCATTAAACACTATTTAGTTCACTCAGAAAGAATTTCTTGTTGCAGCGAGGTGCGTGCGTGCAAAGTGAATACTCAGGATCCACTGAAGTTGGGAGAGCAGATTCTACCATTTCTGCTGGCTTTGGTGAAGTGGTAACTGCAGACTACATAAACGCAGTATGAGTGTTAAGTATTTAAATCCATCACGTGGCAATAAAAGGTGCTTTTGGATACAGCCCTTGGTTTTTTTTTTTCAATTTAATGTTCACAAAGGAAGGAAAAATGACAGTATGTCGCAGGTCTCTGATCTCATTACTTAAGTGAAATGCACTTCTCTGATATCTGCTACCTGCTTCACTTACAGGGAGCTGTAAGCATTGCTCAAACTGGTCACATCCTGACTTAAGTGATTCAGTAATTCTGTATCATTCTAAAGCCCTTTCCTATCTAAGTATTTTAAGGCACTGAATAGGCCTTAAAGCTGGGGGAGGAAACTTGAGAATACTTGACTGCAGCTAAAATACAGACCAAGCAAGCAATAATGTGACGCTGCAATGTATGGAAGTGTGGCAGGGAAGACTCTGTACTCACTCTCAGGCAGAAAGACAAAGACCGCTCTGATCTTTACATCAGGTGCCACCTTCCAGCAGCCCCAGTGCAGCCAGTGGGATTGTCTGTATGCATGCCTGCAGAAGGCTGGGCTCTTGCTTCTTGCATTAACTCAGTGTACTGTTCTTGTACAGAGTGCTATGGATGACCAAATTTGTTTTGCAAAAAAGACCCAGCAAACTTAGCTGCAAAATTCCCGGCGTTAGGCTTTGTCTTAAGGCAAACATTCCCCAGGCAGGATGAGATGATGACTAGCTACAGCAGAACCCAATTCAAAGGGAGATACCCACCCAGTTATGCTGGGATGGTCACTGCTACTGACCGTACCCAGAGTTAAGCATGCCCTGCAGACCAGGATGCTTTTGAAATACAAAATTTGCTTAAAGGAAAGAGTTTGGAAAAACTGTTAAGGTTTTTTTGTTTCCCTCCAGTTTGCAGCATAGTTGGGATATATGCACAGCAAAGGATGTGGACAAAATGGTTGTCATCATATATTCAGAAGAGTTTTCACCACTGAGGGACGAGCTGAAAATCTGCAGGGGAATCCCTCTGCTCACTAAGCCATACGTTGGCACTCAGACTGTCTGTGCTTCTGTTCTGTGAGCTGCTTCCTTTAATTGGAGAGCTCCAAAATGATGCCTGGGAGACAATGCTTGGTCTGCATCGTCACCCAGTTGCTTCTGTTCTCTCACACACCAAGTGCATTTTGCCCTATTCTTACTTGGCTGCAGTGGAGATGTGAGAGTTTGCCTGTTTTTGAAAGCAAGTGTTCAGCTGGAACAAAATCTGTGCCTGAGGAAGTGAACAGAAGGGTGTGTACTGCAAACATGCATGTTCTGCAGGGTGCTCGGCTTCTTGGGCATCTTGAATGGAAGCACTTTCCTCTGTCTGACCTACAGATTCCTCTTCCTCATCTTTTTCTTCCTAGCAGAGATCTTCCTCTCCTCCTTGTTCTGTGACACTCACTGTAGGATTTACCACAGTCCTGAGCTCTAAGTAGCTGCTTTAATGCAGACAGTTCCACCTGTAGGGTTTTTTATCAGCCCCAGAAATGACTTCATAGATTTGCTTTTTTTTTTTTGCAAGAGCCTTTCTTGAAACTGCTATTAGGTGTTTTTTTTTCCCCTTCATTTTCTGCAAGAGTTCAGTTTGTGACAGATAAGAGCAATTAACTGGCTGATAACAGCAAAATAGGTAAAAGGTCAGCAGGGCCAGATAATATTAATCTCTAATTAGATCTTTCATTTCTGCTTTTTCTTATGCCCTTCCTTTGTCTCGGTCATCTGCAAATTTTTCAGGTCATGATAATCATCTTTTTGGAGCCAAATGTTTATTAGTATGAACCTATAGAATAATGCTAATAAGAGACTTCGTATTTCAGTTCCCTGAAATGTGCGATTTTACTGAGCTCTAATTGAGAGGAAAGCAGTGTTACACGTTCTGAACTGTTCATTATGCAGAAGTTAGAATTGATTTCACAGTTTGACTCTTAAAAAAAAAATGTTTTTCTCTAGTAAACAATGAATGGATTCTGACATTTTCTACCAAGTTTCCTTTTGCTGGTACAGGGGAATGCAGATTTGAAACAGCAGTACGAAGCCTCTGTAGACAGAAACTGTCAAAAATCACTGGGAAGTAATCAGGAAAGAAATTAATGGTGGTTGCCCAAATGCCAACTCTTCTGAAGTCTGCTTAAGGTGTAACCATGCCTCTGTTTTGTAACTGTATGCATTACTTCAAGTGTCAGTTGCCTTCAAAAGTATTTCAGAAATAGGCTTTCAGACTGCTTCCCAGCATACAGGAGCTTATGGGCAACATTGAATGATTTATTACTAGCATTTTACCAGAAACTCACACTGAGGCGTTTCTTCAGCAGTGTCTTATGATATGGTTTCCAAGAGTGCTCATTATCAGGTGAAGTCATTATAAACTTG